ATTTGAGTTCAAGAAATTTTTTTCATTATTCTACATTCTAAGTACCCAAAGAAGCTATATCTATAAAAAACCGGATACAAATCGGTGTTTTGCGAAATTGAGAGCAATTTCAAATCTGTTCAGTTTTTTTTGATACACCCTGTATAGTCGATGGATCTAATCTGTATACAACCTCGTTCCCAGGCTCTTTGCTCTTGGGAGGGAACGAGGTTGATCTGTATAACAGTTTTCAAAACCAAGATTAGATTTAGATGCTTTAAGTAATTTTGGATCGTGGCAACAGGGCAGAACTTTGAATCTGGCTTGGCAAAAATCTTTCTATCTGACTCGTCTTCAATGTCGTCTAAACCGCCTTGCTGATTCTTGGTCGAGGGAATTGAACCTGCGACTTTCCGGTTGAGTTCAAATACGTTTTATCAGCGGCTATTGCTCTTAAAACCAGCATGTTGGGCTTATGTTGTCTAGGCTTTACTCTTCCTCGACGTCGCATGTAAAACCCGAAATAAAACCAAACGGTACGAAGCAACTGTGCTGGGTCATTACTATCGGCTGAACCTAATTCGTCATATTTGTGAAACAGCATCTTAATTTGCTTTAGTGTTATTGGCTTTTTGTGGACCAAACCAGCAATTGCGCCTGTTTTCCTGAGTTCTTTAACGAGTGCATCCAACACGGAGTTTGCTTCGGTAAAAGCAGGGTCGCCAAGGATGGCGAAAGGCTTGTTGTTTGGAGGACTTCTCAAGAATCTGTCAACTGCTGCTCGGATACTTTTCATTGTGTTTTTCTTGTAATACGAGCCGTCAACTTGCCTCGCAGATGTATAAAACATTTTCAAAAAAGCATTTAGGTCGGATTTTGTCATGTCTGTGATGTACAAGCCCCCAGAAAAAACTGGAGCAGGCAAACAAATCTAAAATTTAATGTATTTAATTTATTTTCCTGTTTTTCTCTCATTCAATTGCATTACCTTTCAGTTTTTCACAACAGATATACTATTAAACAGCCTTTTTCTTTGAGAAAATAACATTTTTAATTTGCTTTACTTACCATTAAATATCTTCATGCCATATCTAGTAGTTTTTTGTGTGTTGTGTGGAATGGCATTGTGTAAAGCATTTGAATTTCATCTTCATTACTTACACTGCAAAACGGTCAGCCATTTTTTTTTTCATTGCTTTCATTACCCACCGTATATGAGCTGATATACGGTGGGTATTTCAGCCAATGAAATTGCAGAACAGCTCATATACGGTGAATGTCTGTATTATAAATCACTAATATATGTGCTTCAAAATTTAAATTCAACCCTAATTGAGCATGCGCAGTGTTTAACCAAATACCATGTTTTTATGGTATCCGATTTAGATAGCAAAGTTGAAATTTCAACCCCGGGGTTGATAAAATTTTTTCATGTAATCGTTTCAACCCACGGCTGAAATTATCGAGCATGCGTGGTAGTGACTATTACAAGAAAACAAGATGAAGGCTTTTTTACTTCCGGAAATCAATGCCGAGAACGTATAATAGCGTTTCGACCCCGGGGTTGGAATGGTCCATGTAATTGCAAAAAAATTCAAACCGGTTAACAAGGCTGAGT